ATATATATAATAATATGATATAATAATAGTATTATTTGGTAATTTGTATGGATAATTCCAAAGAGAGCTAAATGTAAGAACAGAGCAAATAATAATGAACATGTAGGCGGGGATTTTAGAAACTGATAGTAATATCTTATTTCGCAAGACCGATTCCTCGGTCTCGTCTCATCAGACCAAACGGTTTCAACAATAAATGGATTCAAAAATCCATCCATGCACAGGTAAAAAACGAAATATTTAAACATAATCTGCTTTTAAATGAGGTTTTAATATAGGGGAAGGGAAAAAGAGAAAGCGAAAGGGGAGAAAGAGAAAGAGATATGTATATCTCCCCATTTCTCTTTCTCATAAAAACAGAGCATTATTCAAACAAATATTGTTAAATATAACAGACAACGAATCTCTATTATGTTTTATCATTTTATCATGAGCCTTTCCAAGTGTCGTATAATGGCTTTAGTTTCAAGATAAAATGAGGACAAAAACTGTTCAACATCTGGATATTTCTTATATTTGTCATCGATCTAAGCTTTCGGCTCACATGAGTCATCATCAGATGTGGTTATGTGGACATCACAACAGAGATGTTTACCGTCAAAGATGAAACCCTGTTATGTTTACATAGAAGTTTGCCATGCGACGATAACGGTCGCGGAATAGCAGACGTAGATCGTAAATTCGTAATCCGGTTCTATGACGTCGTACACGCCCATGTGAGAGAAAGAAATGTTATTAACAGAACCATGTAAAGATTATAAATTAAATGAATTCAGGAGCCATAGGTATTTATAGTGAATAAGGTACATTTAGTTTTTTATTCCCACTTTCCTGTCAACTTTGTGTTGAAATCTCGCATTATATACCCGGTGTATCTTTTGACACATGGTTTGTAGCAGATATTTTCAATGTTAAAATGTCGACTTCAACAACGCAATTTCCAGTGTTCTATTTTAATTCTCTCTGTATTTTTAAATTTACTTTTTCTATTTCTAGTTAACTTGGTTCTTTCTTCACAATTTGCGTTTGAATGAACCCCTGTCAGTTTTAGATTTCAATCAGCAGCAACCATTTGTCCATCAGGAAACGCGTCTTTCTTCTTTGCCCTATTTGATCCTCGTTTGCTCGCCACTCTCCAACTTCGATATCTCCCCATCAACAACCTCACAGGTTTCTTCTTCTCTCATCTTGCCCGACGACCGCCACACCCCCACACACCCCATCTTGTCTTTTCAAGACCTCCATTTTTCATTCAACTGCTGCCGTCGTCCATCTGTCCAACTTACGGACGATCCGTTTTTGCTTCTCGCGTTGTCTCGTTTCACTCTCGCTTCGTCTCAATCTCACTTTCACAAAATCCGCCATCTTTATTCGTTATTTCACTTTCTCTCAAATTATTTTTTTAGGCTTAACGATTTTCTTCATTAAATAACAAAATTTTTCAACGTTTTATACATTTGCTTGTTTGACATTATTTTCTTTCAAATTCTTTGTTTTCCAGTCTCTATTTCAAAACTTCTTGGTCAATCAGTGGGATTCTTTTTCTAAAATTCTTTTTAGTTATTTTCTCTTCTGTTCACGGCATTTCTTTCTATTTAATATCCCATCCCCAAATCGCATTAATTTCCATTTTCGACTTCGTTCCTAAACTTCCAATTTTGCTATCTCGTTTTGTCAGTAATTCATTCGTTTTTTTTTTTACTCTATCTTCAAAGCTTTTCCCTTTTGCTTAGTTTTTTTTCCGGTGTTTATCAAGCCGTACACCAAACAATTCCATTTTCTGTACCGCATCCTACCCAGTCCCCTTTACACGCCGCCATTTGCTATTTTGTTTGAAGCTCTTTTTCTCCTCCCCATCTTCTTTTTTCCTCACTCCTTACAATCCTTCATTTTATACCCAAAACTTTACTCTTCCAAATTTCGCTAATTTCCACTTTCCCATTCATTTCCATCTTTTTTTTTTTTTTGGTTTCTATTTTTCTTAACGATTCGATACGTTTTTGTATTGTTTTTTTGGTACTGCTCGTTATTTTATTCTTTAACCCATATACTTCTGATGTCAGCTTAAACTGACGCCATTTTTTTTTCATATTTGATGACTACCTTGCTTAAAGTTCGTATTTTCTTGATTTTAGATTGAGCCAGTGATTCTCAATCGCCGTAGAGCGGCACACTAGTGATCCTCTTAACGAAATATTGTCACGGCATACATACATATATATATATATATATATATATATATATATATATATATATATATATATATATATATATATATATATGTGGGTGGGAGTAGTAATGGTACAGCGTTAGTATTTAAATAAATGAAGACACATTAATAATAAATATTTTCCCTATTCTTCGATTATGTCATTTTAAATACTTTCTTTCAATATTCGTTTTTAAACAGTATTGTTATTTTCTTAATTTAACTTTTAAAAATTTTCATTTATATGAATAAAAGAATATTAATCTTTTTTCGTATAAACATTCTTTGTTTAATTCAGCATTTTTTACAAAGTTATATTGAATTATGAATTAATATTATCATTTGGGATTTTAATACGAAAGGCTCTATCAGTTTTATTGCAATTTTCTATTTTTTATTTATGTGAATTAGGCTTCTCAACCCTAAATAACATCAAAAATAAGAAGCTAGGAAGACTCCGTTCAACTGAAGAAGAAATGGGGGTCTGCTTATCGCGCATTCGACCAAACATTGAAGCGAAAAAACATCAAGGACAGGTTTCACGCTAAATAAGCTGCAGAAAAAGTTGAATAGAATCATTGAAATAAAGTAAGTTCATCTTAGTATGTTTATTTTTTTTAATTTATGGTTTTCATTTCATAATGTATCCTCATTAAATATTTTACTCAATGTGCCATGATATTGTCATTTGTTCCTTGGTGTGCCGTTGCTTAAAAAGACTAAGAAACATTGGATTAAACCCTGGAAATTTGCACGCATATTTCAGTGAAATTTTTACTTTCCAAAACTGCATGTTATAAATATAGTTTAGATATAAGAAAAGAAGAGGTCAATTTAAACTGATGCCAGGAGGATATCGCATAAAGTGACGCATTATGTTTTGCTATATATTGTAACGCTTGGTCTTGAATTGTTTTTTTTTTTTGTTACCACCACAAGGCAGGATGTAGGCCTTCGTGTTGACTGTGTGGCCGTTCTTTCTGTCCCTATTTTGTTACCATTTGGCAGAAAGTTCTTGATTTTTTAAATTCTTGATAAAATCTTGGAAACTTCAGTGAAGTTTTTCCATTTCAAAATTATAGTTTAGTATTATAGATTAGATAAATGGGGTGAGGAAACGTAAGTTTAGACTGACGCCAGAAGGATATCGATTGCACATACTTTCTACCCTGGTTCTCTTATTTTTCTCCTCTTTTTATCAACAGTCTGTCTTAATATGGCGTTGTAGTAACAGGATTATTTATGTAGGCAGAGAGAAAAAACGATAGAGGAGTAGGATTGATACTAGATCAAGAATTGAAGAAATGCGTTCTGGGATACTACCAACTATGCAAAGGAATTATGGTCGTCAAGCTGAAAGGAAAACCTTTCAACGTACCTATTATAATACTGTATGCACTGACAGCACAAAGTAAGTAAGATGAATCTTTCTACTCCATGCTAAACAAAGCCAAGGTACATTCTTTCTACCCCCATTTTCTCCTTTTCTTTTTATCAACAGCCTGGCAGTACAAGCAATGATGCTTTCATTTCTTAAAGTAATTTTCCGGCTCATTAACCAATACCTCACTGCAAGTACCCCAATTTATTGACTGAGTTGAAGTTAGTACGCCACCAGGTAACATATGTGGGTCGCCGTGTGAGAATCGACTCACTGCAGCGGTAACAGTTTTCTACCCTTCGAGTACGCTTCCCGCCGGCGGCAAACCTCCGTTTTTTTCTCTCCTCGCTTCGACCCTTGATGTAAATCGCGTCTCCAGCATGAGGGGTCATTGGCGACGTCTTCCCACCTCGCATGTCACTGTTGACCTCTTGCTGGAGGCCAGTTCCCCATAGAGAAGGATCTTCAGAATCCTCTCATCTGTAGACTGTTGCTTCCCGTGTTTTGCTGTCGTGGTGAGGCAACGGTGGAGTGTCCTCTCTAGGATTTAGGCCTGGGCAGTTTTAGGATTTAGGCCTGGGCAGTTTTAAGTAAGTATAGCTAAAGAGGGAACACGACAAAAAATCTCACTGGGAGTGGAGGATAAATTCCAAAAGCCAGGAATTTTTCTTACTGATTCTACTTCACTTTCTCTCTCTCTCTCTCTCCCTCCCATCTCCCTCTCATTCTCTTTCTTCCTCTAATCTCTTCTCTCTCTCCCATCTTTCTTTCTCTCACATCCTCTCTCCCTTCAAATTACTTCTCTCTCTCTCCCTCCATCCAATCTCCTTCTCTCTCTCACACATCTCCCTTTCTCTCTCCCATCTCCCTCTCTCTCCCTCCAATCTCCTCCTCTATCTTTCCCAGCTTCCTCCCTCCAATCTTGTTCTCTTTCTCCCTTTCTCATCCTCTTTTCCCTCTCTCTCTCTCTCTTCCTCTCCCTCCCTTTCATAGTTCTTCTCTTACAGCAAAAAAGAATCCCCTAGACTTTCGTCATTTTATTTTGGTGTTTACGACGTTTTAATCTTGACTCTTCTTGATATTAAGTACGACACAAGGTTAGAAGGAATGAGGCTCAAATCTAGGGCTGGTGGCGAACACTGAATGCATGATCTGGAATGCTGATTTTAATGGCAGGTTGTATCTACCAAGTGTGAGCAAATACCTCAGCGACGAAGTAATTTACTCTCCGACGAGTCGTCCTTCACCACACGACCACAGCTCTAAGGGATAAATAGTTTCATTGGACCGGGGATAAAATAAGGCCGTCAGGCGATGTTAAATATGGCCGAGTGGCAGGCGGGGGGTTGAATTCGAAGAAATATAGAGAAATAGCTTCTGACAGATAGACAGATTGATACAGATAAACAGCTAGCGAGATTTAAATGTGTTGATAGAAAGAGAAAGAGTTAAACACACAAAAGGACGTAGATAGATAGATAGATAGATAGATAGATAGATAGATAGATAGATAGATAATGGACAGACAGAAATAGATAGATAGATAGATAGATAGATAGATAGATAGATAGATAGATAGATAATGGACAGACAGAAATAGATAGATAGATAGATAGATAGATAGATAGATAGATAGATAGAAAAAGGGAGAGAATCTGATATAGAAATGAACAGATTGAGATAGATATGATGAAACTTAAAATTGAAGGGACAGATAGATAGATAGATAGATAGATAGATAGATAGATAGATAGATAGATAGATAGGAACAACCTTTCGCTTTATGTAAGAAGACCAATAGAAAGATAGTTTAATACATATACGCATAAATACCCACCCATATATATTTATATATGTGTGTGTGTGTGTGTGTGGAGAAAGAAAGAGATAGAAAGAAAGAAAAATGAACAGGTGGATATAGATTTTAAGAGGGATGGAGAGTAACAGATAAAAAGAGTAAGACATGTAAGAGGAGAAGGGGAGAGAACCATATTAATAGAGAATATGCATGCGCGTGTGTGTATGTGCGCGAGGGAGAGTATGTGTGAGAAAATGAGTATGTGCACGTGAGAGAGAAAGAGCGGGCGTGGTTGTGTGTGTGCATTTAGAAGAGCGTACTCGAGAGAGAAAAAGTGAAAAGGCGTAAGTCTGCTTGAGAGAGAGAGAGAGAGAGAGAGAGAGAGGGGGGAGAGAGAGGGAGAGAAAATTTGTGTCTATGTATTAGAATGTGTGCGAGTATAATATAAGACAGGCAGAATGACAGTGTGAAAGAGAGTGTTTGAAAGAGAGACAGACAGACAGAGAAAGAGAGAGTAAGGTGTGCACTGTCGACTCATTGCTGACCTCATTAACGGTTAACTCGACTGTCAGGCAAACGCCTGGAATTGTATCGTCTAATTCCATTCTGCTAGACAGATGATGGTGTTAGTGAACCGATAACCCCTCCACCCACTCGCGGATCACTCTCAGCTCTGACCCTGCACCGACCAGTGGGAACAGGGGCAGTGTTAAGAATGGGGGTATGTGCATTAGAAACACTTTCTCTTTACCTTCACCCCCGACTGCGACACACCGACCGATTACTTCACCCAGTCGCACACCCTACACCAACCCTATCGACACTGCCTATTTTTTTTTTTTTTTTACTTTTCCTTCCCGCCACATACGACTTTAACATTGTATGGACGCACCCACATTCTCTGGACGCACCCACACTCACTTATCACCGGAGCCGCCCGTGTCTTAAGCATCGTCTTCTTAATTTTCTCTGTTGCCTTATCCATCAGTAGCCAATCTCAGCGTCCGCCACAAGACATGATACAGACGACATTTTCTACCGTTGGTTCTTAAAATACTAAATTCTTTATTTCCTTCACTTTTCTTTCCGGAGATGAAGGAGTGTTTTTTGGGAGTTTTTTTTGTTTGTTTTGTTCTGAAAGTTTCATTATTCCTTTCTTCGATGAACAAATTGTTTTTGCTTTTAAAAAGAAATTATTTTTATTTGCTTAATTCTATCTCTCCTGTTATTTGCCGCCATCTTTCTTTCTTTCTTTTGCATATTGCCTGCTTTCATTAATTTTCACTTCCTTTCTTTCTTTCTCTGTCTTGTATATTGCTTACTATTTTTGTTTTTCTTTTTGTTTGTTTGTTTGTTTGTTTGTTTCTTTTTTTTTATTTCTTTATTATTTCGTTCTTTTTCTTGCATATTGCTTATTTTCATTGTTTTTCACTTTCTTTTTGATTTTTCTTTCTTTCTTTATTCCGTTCTTTTTGGGGGTTCTTGATAAGACCCAGAGACGGATATGCAATATAATTGGCCCCGATCTGGCATCTCGTCTGCAGTCACTCTCTCACAGACGTGTTGTTGCCTCCCTCTGTCTTTTTAACAAATACTTTCATGGTAATTGCTCCGATGAGCTGCTTTCGCTGGTTCCCAGACTTCGCGAATTCAAGCGTCCTACTAGGCTGGCATCCCGCTCTCACCCTTTCACTGTTGAAACTGTTAAATGTAGCCGCCTCTTCTACTCCAATAGCTTCATATCTCGCACCTCTCGCCTGTGGAACTCCCTTCCCTTTTCCTGTTCCCCTGATAGCTATAATCTCCAACTATTCAAATGTAATGTCAATCGACATCTCCAGTTGCCTTGATCTATCCACTATCCTTCTCCTCATCCTTTCCTCTATCACTCCTATCCGCTCTCGCTCCAAATGCTGTGTAATCCCTTGCGTGCTAGTGGCTTCCAGCCTTGCTTAGGGTGAAATGCTTATTAAAAAAAGAAGATATTGCGTACTTACATTGTTTATCACTTTCTTTTTCTTTCTTTCTTTCTTTCTTTCTTTTTCTTGCATATTGCATACTTTCATTGTTTTTCACTTTCTTTTTTCATCTTTCTTTCTTTCTTTCTTTCTTTCTTTCTTTCTTTCTTTCTTTCTTTCTCTTGCATATTGCATGATTTCATTGATTTTTTTTTCTTCTTTTTTGGTCCTCCTTGTACCACTTTGGTATGATTGATAGTCTAGCCGACCATTCATTGATATACTCATTTTTATCGTCAGTGGAAAACTTACTCTTGTAACCTTGTGACAGACGCAGTAAATAAGGTGAATAAATAAAGTTTCGGTGATCTCTTTCTCTATCTGTCTGTCTGATAAACATAAAAATCATTTGTCCTTCAGTGAACTAGCAATTATCATATATATATATATATATATATATATATATATATATATATATATATATCAAAGTATATAATTGGTATACACGGAATGAATTCCAATAACCAACAATTACTATTCTTAAAAGAGTGCTCAATACAAAGTAGTAGAATATATAATATTTTTATAAAAAATTTATAACATAAGTATGTTATAAAATGGTGTAAAAAAAAATAAATGGTTTAAACCATTTATTTTCTTTTCAACACCATCACTTGATAAGACACAGAGTGTGTTGAAACAAAATGGCTATTTTTGTAGTGATTTTATAACATACTTATGTTATAAATTTTTTTATAAAAATAATTATATATATATATATATATATATGAACGTATGTATGTGCGATTTTTACGTAAATATGTATGTGGTATATGTATGAAAAAAATAATTTGTTTACTATTACCTTCAAATCTTACTCCATCTTGATTTGGAACCTAAACTTTAATTAAGAAATATTGCCCATCTAAAAATGGCTATAAATTAAATTCATGAATTAGACTCTAACTGATAAAGATTTTACCTTAACTGTCATTCACAATATTAAAACATTACTATTAGTAAATTTTTATTTCTTTTATTACTGTTGTTTATTAATATAGTATTCAACTTATATTAAATCCCTAACTTATTTGTAGAGAAGTTGAATATTTAAATTGCTAACAAGCATTGAATTAATTTCTTTGTGGAGTTCTTTAAACATTTAAATTACTATCAAACGTTAAAATCTGTTTTTATCTAAATTGCTAAAGCTATACCACCCCACTTCTTCCTCCAAAAATCCTAACTACATCTCTTTTCTCTTTACTTCCCCTTTTTTTCTTTTTCTCTTTTTTCTCCTTTTCCTTTTCCAATATTATTTTCGTTGAGTTCCCCGATTAAATAGGTCAAGGTCTCATCCTTACCCCCGCTTTCCTCAATATTAAGTATTATAATAAAAAGAAATCTAAAAATCAATTTTAAAACCCTCCCTTCCCTCTCTAAACTCGACCATGTCCCTCACACCATTCCTCGCAACATTGTATGTCAACTTATATAAGCTTAATACTGCCCGTCAAAAGTGTAAATTTTAATTTCATTTTTCTTTTCGTTTCACTTTTTGAAAGTGATGTCTGAAGATCCAGGGAAAAATAAAATTCTCTGGTGAAATAAACTATTACAATGGAGCCTTAAAGTTGTCTGTTTTTTTTAAATTAATATATATATATATATATATATATATATATATATATATATATATATTATTGTTATATTTTAATTGATACATGTATTTTAGTTGACGCCCGACCTTTTAGTAGTAAGAATTAGATATGCATATTCATTACATCACTGTCGCATATATATATATATATATATATATATACACACACACACACACACACACACACACACACACACACACACACACACACACACACACACAAACACACACACACACATATATATATATATATAAGAAAAATAATCCTTTAGATAAGAATTTCACAACCGGGGCGCCTGGGCACTCTAATCCGCCGTGAAAGGCAGACGTGTGTGTCTCAAGTTAATAGAAGAGTAATTTAGGAATTATTTTTATATTTAAAAAAAAAAAAAAATCTTTATTTTTAAAAAAGCTAGGGACACCAGGCACATGCCTTCCATATCAAAGTCAAGTCTTTGGCATTTGATATTTTAAACTGGATGCTAAATTCCTTAGTCTTTACGAAGGAATGGATAATCTGCCCCTTTTGGCATCCTCAAGGGATTTAAATTATTCATTATCACCCTCTCCAAAAGAAAAAAAAAAAGCAGATTCTTCTCTTTAAAGGAAAAATGAATCACTTTAATATAGAAATTAATATCTTAAAAATAAATGCTTATTTCAGGAAACTACTTCGTTATTTTCCTATTTGAAAATTTTCATGACTAATTTTTCCTTATTAAAATTTAAAGTGCGTCCTAGGGTTTTACTTATTCTGCAAGTGCACCTTAAATTAATAAAAAAAAAACAGGAAAGGTTGAGAGGCTCAGTTAAAATACATAGTTTATTTCAGTTGAAAAGAACAGGGAACAGGCAAATTGTACAATCTGAACGCAGATAAATCTAGATTGTAACGAACGCAAATAAAAAGAATAGAAATGGTATAGATTATCGATCAGAAAACGAAAGTTATTTCGGTACTAAAGGGTCGTGATATGACACTTGGATCCCAGGTTAAAAAAAATAATGTCGTTCGTAGAAGCAAACGTACAACATAGGAGCCATATAGAGTCAAACACATTCTGCCAAATTACCGTAACCTCCAGAAAACCTGAATCACAAATCGGATACCTTAAAGCAGGGGTTCTTAATTGGGGGCATCCATACCCCTTGTGGGTATGGGAACCAAATGCTGGGGGTATGGGAGTCGATTTCAGGTTACTGGTAGTCTCCCCGCCCCGTGTTGTGTTGGACAATTTTTCATTTTTCTTTTCACAGTTTTTGTGCAAAATGTCGTCTGTCAAAAAAGAAAATAAATAAATGGAAGTGGAATGATTCATATGCAGGTTTTGGCTTCACCTGTGTGACAGAACTAGATGGAACAGAAAGAGCCCAGTGCATGCTGTTCAATTTGGTAATGAGCAATGGAAATTTGAAGCCATCAGGATTAAGGGAACATTTCAAAAGCAAACACAGTAGTCATGTTGGCACATCGATTGAGGCTTTTAAGTTGGGAAGAGTTCGCTATGATCAGAAAGCAACTCTTTCATCATATGGGTTTTTTGCACCAGGAAAACCTCTTCTGGAAGCCTCCTACAAAGTTTCATACATGATTGCCAGAGAAAAGAAACCCCACATAATAGGAGAGACCCTCGTGAAACCCTGTACGCTGGAGATGGCAAAAATTGTGTTGGGAGAGGAGGCCATGAAGCAACTAAGTCAGGTGTCCTTGTCCAACAACACTGTACGCCAGAAAGTACAATAAGTTCAAGCGATTGAAATATTTGGAAGACATACTGGCAAATAATAGGATTGGTGATAATTATTTCGACAGTCAAGTGAAGAGGGTATGGGACCACACTGGACAATCCATTGGGGGTCTGGAATCATCAAAAGGTTAAGAACACTTGCCTTAAATGATCTATTTGAAAATATCAATCCAAGTAAATTTCATTAAAGAAATTGGGATTTACACGAAAATATTAAAAAAAAAATCTGCTTACTTTCA